ATAAAGCTAACACACCAGGAAGAAAAAGGATTCCCACTGTTAGATTGCAGCTATGTGATAGGCAAAGTGAACCTATGTTTTAGGAAGTATCTGTAAAGTCGGAAGTCACCTGAAGGGCTTCGAATGTTCAGTACCTGGGTGTTCCTGCACAGCCGATGCTTCATGGGTGGAGACACCATCATGCTGAGGTGCTGGACACCGTCTGGGCACTTTGTCTAGTTTACCAAGGTTTGCGACTTCCTCTTCCCTTTCCCTTTCTGGATCTCCTTCCGAGTCTGAGATCCTCTCACTGCCTGCTATCAGCTTCGTCCGGAGGGCATGATTCTCTGTCTCCAGCCTGTTGATCTCTGCCTGCATTTTCTGGATAACTCCCAGGAGCTGGATATTCATCGCCATTGCCTCTTCTCCAGGAACCCTGGTTTGCTGCTCCCACAGGCCAACTTTTGCTCATGAGTGAGATGCACAAGCTACTCAGTGGGGTTGTTGGATCCCACCTGGCGACTCAGGGAACAATAGTGTTGGCTATCCTCAGCACCATCTCTCAGCACCTGAGGTCGCCAGGAGAGGTCAAGGCTCACCATAATTTATTCATTCTGGGTTTTCTTTTTCAACACAGAGCTTCTCTTTGTCTCTTTGATTTCATCTCAATCTACACTTCTGGACTACTGCTTTGTGTCTGATGAGAACACTCCAAAATTTCCACTGAGACAGAGTTTCTTATTTCTGTCATGAACTTGCCCTTGGATCGGCTACTCTTGCTGTTTTGGGATGAAATGCTTCACAGGATCACTAATCGTTGGTCACAGGTATCTCAAAATGCACACGTAAGGAACATGCTTTTGCTCCTTCACATAAAGCATGCATAGTTTTTTCTTTTTAAATTATTTTTCACACTTTTTATTAAGAGCAAGAGTCATCGGGGGAATGGGGGTTGATCGTGTTTATCTGATGTTTAAATAGGATGGTGATCAGTATACCTAAATCCTGCAAGCTAAGGGAAGGATTAAATCAGCATTTCTCTATAGGCTGCTATTTTATTAGCATTTTTCCATTATTTGGGCCTAGACTGTTTGCTTGGGCAAAAGCTGTTCAGGGATATTTTGGGAATGTAATTAAACACAGGGTGAGCGTGAATATTGAATGATAAGGATATGCAACAGTTAACAGCTTTAATTATCCATTTCCTGAAGAGGTCTCTTTGTTGGAAATGAAAATTATGAATCTTAAACAGCATAATCTCTGACAGCAGTAGCTGTTGCAAAGTCAATTAACTATAAGTGCTTTTTTTTGGCAATAGGGTAAAAATGATTTTCATGGTGATTATCTTCCCTGTACATTCATTGCCTCCTATTCTTGGTATGTCAATGTTTTTTTGCCTATCCTAGTAAATATTTAATGATATAGCTGAGGCATAGGTGAAGAAATTATTGGAGAAGATACATATTTTTTTTTTACTCAACTGAATTTATTTTATATGTATTTTCTAAACAGGAAGTCAAAAATAATGGGTCTGTTTTGATAAATCACTCTATTTTAAGTGAATTTCACAAAACATTTTTATCAGGCACTAGAAACTATAAAGTGTGTTGTGGAAATGTGTACTTTTGAGTAAGATGGTCATCTATGCAAGTGTTTCTAAACTATTTTTTGACTATGGGTCCCTTCTAGCTTTTCTTTCTTACTGTAGACATGCCTATTCTACTGGTTGACCCCCTAGTCTTGTGATGTGGCCCCCCATTTATAAAATTTCACCCATGTCCCCCTTCAAATATCCTGGGAGCCCATAATGGAATCACATGGGCCCTGGTTAAGAAATTATGCTTTGGGATACAGATGTCTTGTGCCATGCTGCATGCAGGCCAGGCTCAGAGAGTGATGTTATGAGATCTGATTTATCCCATGGAGTAGACAGGGTATTAGGTCTTATGAGAAGGAAGGAGGGGTAGTGAGTGGTGTTGTGGGAGAAACACAGCATATGCTCAGATATCCAGTGTGGCAGGTAAAAATAAGTATCTGATTATCATGGTACTAGCCATCAGTCAATAACTCAAGAAAGAAAGTGTCTTGGAGCTCCATCCCAAAGGGTGGCAGGGCAGCTGGCTTTTGGCATAAAGAAGAGCTATGGTGATTGCCAGGGTGACTCTCTCATGGGACTCTGGGCCTTTTCTTGAACTTACAAATCAAGAATGCGGACCCTATTTCTAGTGCAGGAGATATTAGACCCTCAGCATCACCTGCAGGTGCTTGCTTAAAATCAGGTCTATCAGTGATGGTGTCTATCAGTTTGGGCATCATGAAACACAAAAACATTCATTGGAAAGCATCTGTGCACACCCATGTTCATTATCATTCTTAGTACAATAGCCAAGATATGAAAATAACCCAAATGCCCAACTACAAATTCATGGGTTAATACATTATGGTATATAGACACAGTGGAATACTATACAGCACCACGAGCAAAAATCATGCAACTTGAAGCCACATGGATGGAACTAGAGGATATCATGCTGAGTGAAGTCAATCAGAAGTAAAGAGATAGATACAGAATGATCTCCTTCAGATGTAGGGCTTAAAGGTACACAGCAAGGTAGCCACACAGGTCTGAAGACAACACAGTGGTAGAACTGATACACAAAGTTGAGTCAGGTGGGGAGTTTGGGAGGGAGGAGCATTGCGGTCCTTGGAAAAGGGATGGGATATACTGGGGATGGGCGTGATGTTGGTATTGGAATTATGTGCATGGTAAACCATTATTAATAGCATTATCAACTACAGAATCTCAATGAAAAAGAAAAGAAAATGCCAATCTAATAATGGCTCAACTCTAGACTTATCTATGATTTTCACATAGGAGATTTGGTAAATTGTAAGACTCTCCCTTAGTTGAGTTACTTTTGCACAATTAAGTTTGAAAACAATAGATCTAGAGTGACACAATCCAAGAGAAACGTAATGCAAGTCACACATGCGATCAGAAACTGCTTAGTAGCCACATTAAAAAGTCAAAGAAATCAAATCGATATTTAATTCAATGTAGCCCACCCAGAATAATGTCATTTCAATGCCTAAATTAAAGTCTATGTGAAAATTACTAATGTGTTATTATACATCACTTTTCTTGTATTGTTCTTAACATCCAGTGTTCATTTCAATCTTTTTAAATTGATTTTTGGCTGTGGTGGGGGTTGAGCTCAGGACAAGCTAGGGCTCTAACGCTGATCTCCACCACCCCCCCATCCAGCCCCCCCCCCCCCCCCCCCGGCCCCGGTGTACTTTTCACACTGACATCCCATTACAATTCAGAACCTTCGTTTTCACTGGAAATACTTGATCTACACTTTTCTTCCATAAACTCAGCAGTCTGTGAGGCAGCGGATTTGTATGCACAGATTCTCTTGGACATACTTGCATGCATTCAGGGTATCCTCTGCATAGCGACCTCCAGGCATCCCTGCACAACTGGACTCAAAGGGAAGTCTGCACAGTGACCTTCAAGGTCTTCTGTGTGAAGCAGAGTTTGCCAAATCAGGTCTAGAGAAATAATGAGCTGAGGTTTGAGTCTGCCATAGGATGGAAGTAGGTCATGAGGTGCCCAGCAGTTTTTATGCATCCAGGTTCAACTGCCAGCTCTCGTGTCATGTGACAAGACCATGGAACTGCATCTCCACCTAAAAACAATCTCTAGATGGATTTTGTCTCTGAGTTCGTACCCCCATTCTTCTCTGCATCTGCTTGAGAGATAACTGTTCCCTGAGTTCAAAACGTGTGTCCTGTTCCAACAGAATGTTACTCATGCCCTTTTAAAGAAATGCCTTGTTGATTTAAGTTATTATGTGAATATGTTATTTCTCCACAGAGAAACAGACAGGTCTGTTGAAAGTGTAGGGAGGACGGGGAAGCAGCTCACCAGATTCCTTTTTCTGGGATAGTTCTGCTTTCTCTGAGAAGTTCCTAAACCTTGAGTCTGATCAAATAAAATTCTTCCTCTCCTGTATAGGATTACGATCACGATCATCCTGTTGTTCGTCGATGTCCTTGAGCAGGCACCAGTAACCTTTCCTTCTTCCTAGCCCTGAGATTTTAAAAGAGCCATTTCAGTGCTCTTTCAGGATTAGGAGAATGAGACCCAACATTGTTACAGGTATTTGGCATATTGAATAGGACACGGAAGTTTGCCAGATTCTGCCGTGCGAGCAGGATACTTTTGGTAGCCTGCCAGGTTCTCCAAAGGAAAAATAAGATAATAAGATGTCACTCCGCACGCTTCCAGGAGCTGGGTTTTATAGTCTCTGCGTCTTGGCCGTTGATGGGACCAACCTGGTGCTGGCGGCAGCTGGTGGGTGTGATGCCTACCTACTGGAAGATGGGGGGGGGTCTGGGTGGAGAAGGCCCAGTCCCTATCCGAGTAGGCTTGGAGACCTCTGCTCCGGGACCCGCATGCCTGGGTTCTTCTGCCAGTTCTTTCATGCATGAGGCCCGTTCGGATGTGTGGAGAGTGGTCCCAGCCTGGCCGTGGTTGGCTCCAGAGGTTCTCAGCTGCTGTTATTATCATTATCATTGCTATTGTTATTATTATCATTATTAATTTTTCATTTCTTTTTTGTGATATATGGTGCTTGGCAGTGCTCCAGGATCACTCTGGTGGTGCTTAGGGGGATCAAATTGGGAGTTTCTACGTGCAAATTATACTTTCCCAGGCATGGTGATTATTTGAAATCAACTTATTTGACCCTGATGTTGACTTGATCAGACTGTAAAATGCCACACCTCCTCTCTCCCATAGCCTTTTTGGTTGCATTCCAGCCACAGTCCTACCTTTCTACTTTGTCTGTGCATTTGAAAGTGTTTTCCCCAAGATATTCACATAGTGAGTGCCTTTATTTCCTCCCTCACCTGGTAAACCTCTAGTAAGGGTCAAGTTTGGGCAAACAGAGGCATTTTTTTGGAGCTCTTCCCAGCCTTCAGAGAAAGTTCTGAAATAGGAGAACCTCAGTTGGACAACGATTTCCCAGACACCTGGGAATTGGTAACCAGTGTCTCCAATCATTTCCCAAATTAATGTCCAAATTAATGGATCAGGGATGCTGTCTCATTTGCCTAGGCGTCGAAAATCAGATGGGCTGGACATATAATGCAATTTGGAGATGACCGCTGGACTAGAGCCGTTACTGACTGGATTCCACGGGACGTCAAAAGACCACGTGGCTGCCCACCTAAGAGATGGTCAAACTTCTTCGTCAAGACCCTGAACGAAGGAGGTTTGAGGCTTTTCGTGTTCCTGGAGTATGCAGATGCCATTGGGCTACACTGGCACGTGACAGGGATGAATGGAGAAATTACTGGCACCCACTAGAGCAAATCGATGAGTAACGGGATGTCAAATGATCAATGTC